TTCCCCCCGCCTGCTCCCACGTGTTCCAGATCATTGTCCCTGGGGTCTCCAACGTGGGGAAGATGTGCCTCAGCCCTTCCGCCGGGACGCGTCCTGCCCTCCCGCCTGGCCGTCCCTCCAGCAGGTCCTGTCCCCTGGGGAGGTTCCACAGCTCGGGCAGCAAGCAGCGAGTCCCAGCAGCGTCTGGGGGCGGGGGGCTGCTGCTGGACAGGTGCTACTGCCACCTCAGGCTCTTTGGAGGGATGAAACGTGCCATGACTGTGTTGTGACCTTCCTCAGTATTGCGTGCTAGAGCCCCTGCTCTGCCGAGCGGCCGGTGAAGGACCCGCTGTCTGGCCAAGGCAGGATGTCTGTCTGCTGTGCTCTGGGACACGGGGAGCAAGGGGTGGGATGCACGGGCTGAACTCTGTCACCTTTCTGAGGATGGCAGAAGTGGACACGTGTGACGAGATGACGCCCAGTGTGACACCTGCGCTGGCACTGCTCTGCTTGCGGGCTGGGTGGGGGACACATCTCCCGCAGCAGGCGGTGGCCAGGGACCCTGTGACTCCTGCCTGGCCAAGCAGCCGTTCAGCCCAGGCTGAGCCCCGCGTGGGGATTGGGGTGAAGGCCACAGGAAAGGCTGCAGCCGCGTGTCCTTCCAGCCAAACCCACCTTCCCACTGCCCAGGGAGGCTGCGGGCACGGCCCTGGCTCAGGATGGTGCTGCGATGGGAGCCACGGGTACCCTGGGGGTGCAGCGCTGGCAGCCAGAGCATCCCCAGGAACCGGCGTTTAGTAAACCAGGTGAAAACCCTTCATCGTCTTGGATTACTGACCAGCTGCTTTGTGTCATTCAGTTAACTACTCGGAATTTGGGGGTGAGGAGGCGACGTCTCCCCAGGGCTCGCAACCACCTTTCCTGCTCATGGGTGGGAGGAGGGGGCTCTCCGGGGACACCATCTCTGGGGGTGAGGTGCCTGGCCCTGGGTGTGATGGAGGAGGAGCTGGGATGGCTGCGTGTGCCCAGGACGTGCTGGTTGGCTCCGCTCTGGGTTCACATTCTGGTGGCAGTGGGGCACGGGGGGAGGATTTTCCCTCCAGTGTGGGACGGTATCGAGTCAGTGGGCTCCCTGGGGGGGATTCATTGTTCCCCTGGGTGGGATGGGGAGAGGGGTCCCAAGCTGCAGGGCAGGCAGTGGTGGGGAAGGGCTGACAGCCACAGGTGCTGTTTGCAGGGGAGCAGTGGGGTGAAACTGGTGCCCCCCAGGCTGGGCTGGGATTCGGTTACCTACAAGCTGGGATTGGTGATGAAGAGCTGCTGGGGGGGCTGTGGAGTCTGTGGGGTCAGCCTGGGACTGCGGTTAAGCTGCTGCTGTTGGAAAGAGGCTTGGAGGGGCTGAGCCCTCTGGCAGGGACAGCTGCACGCCCTCTGAGCCCTGGACTCTGCGCCTGCCAGTGTGAGATGGGGACCCCTGCCCTGTCCCCCCAGCACCTGCACCTGGTCCCCACATGGACACCTGCCCTCTGTACACCTCCTCAGCACTGACCTGGCCCCACAGCATCACTCAGCTGTTTTCTACCCCATTTCTCTTCCTTGAGGATCCTTCCCTCTGGGCACAGTGCAGTCTCCTCCGGCCGGCTTCACCCAGAGTCCTCCGTCCCCACCACCCACCATCCCCGGCAGCATCACCTCCAGGCACCTCTACATCCTCCCTCACCCCTGGACCCCATCACCACA